CGCGGCTGGGCCTATTAACCGTGGGCTTAATAACCGGCGACTACTGTACTATCATTGTGAGTTAGTCTTTTTATATGACGAATTGCCAGCTGGATGCTCAGTCAAGCTTAAATGCATTATTGGCTGCAGTGTACGCGACAACCTACTTACCAAACCCGAGAGTGCTTATTTTGTCTCAAGTCTTAGACAAAGGTCTTCCCGTTATCTTTACTTGTGCTTGTTACGGTTAGGATTAGCCAGCTGATTTATTCGGCCGTTGTTATGTCCAGTTTGGTACTTATCTATGCGCAACGATCCGGCGCAGCAGCTATGGGCAGTTCAGTCAATCCTCATCGCGAACGCAGAGGCTGAATACTGAAGGTCAAAGAACCACTTCCATGTACTGGCGGACTGAGTTGAGCTAGGTTTTGAGCTGACCCCCCCCTCTTTCGACGTCTGCAATTAGTTAATGGTGTCGAATCGAGGGCAGTAACACTGAGCTCTTGAGGATGACGAAGAACGTGTACAAACTACTATAGTCGTCTTTCTTGGATGTCCTGGTGTATACTTGCTATGTTATCGTAGCGAGTGCAGGCTGTCTCATTTGCGACGATGCCGGTGTACTGCACTCGAAGTATGGTCCCCGAGCAGTAGTGGTCGAATACCTCCAGTTTTCTTTCATCTTTTACACATAGCCCAGCAATCCCAGCCATAGAGAAGGGCAGATCGAACGGATGCAGGATACACACAAACCCTCGTGGCAATGGAACTGTCACGTCGGGTCCATAGCCACTTTCGAAGGCTTAAAAAACTGATGAACTGCATCGTTATAAGAGATATTGTCATCCTTACTCTGCCCATTCGGCAGCAATCTCGTTCCGAGGTATTTGGAACTGTCTGCTTCTTCAAGTTGACAGTCATCAATCTCGAGAGGTGTCTTCTCTTCGCCAAGGATGCAGCACGAGAACACTTTGGTTTTTCCAGCGTTTATGGACAAATTGACCGACTTAACAACCTCGTTCACTCGTGACACCGTAGACTGTAGATCGCCAAAGCTTGAAGCTAGTAAAGCGATGTGATGGGCGTAGGGGAGATCAGTCGACAGGCACCCGGGTGTGAGCTTCATACCATCCTCTTTACGTAGGGACTTCCCAAGAATGCAGTCAATAGTCGGTATCAACGACCACTATAGGTGGGAGTAAGGGGGTGCTGGGTTCGATGTCTAAGTTGAGGGGGTGCTCGACGTAGTTATCTGTCACTCTAGAAGTGCTTAGTAGTCCAAAGAATAACTCGATGACTCAGCCTTACCGGGGTTTCTATCATCCTGATGCTGGTAGACGACTATTGCTGCAAAATATATATGACGGACTATAGCTGAACGGTCTCATTTAACGCACTTGAAATAACACCAGTAATGTAGCGATTAGTCTCCGTAATCTCCGAACAGCATACTGCACAGTCTTTTTGTTCTTTTGCATATTGAAATATGTTATGCAATGCCGGATTGGACAATGGAAAAAAAATGGTGCAATGGACTATCTAAAAAAGTTAGAAATTGGCTGAATGTCTAGAGGGGGGGAGGGGCTTTAGTGCCCTCGTTTGAAACACCGGGTTGAGTACAACTTCTGTGTTTGAAATGCCATTGACGTACTTTCAGTTTTATTTACACACTGGTCTACTTCATTGTCGTTAGACTGTTTGACCTATCCACGGTTATTCGCAAAGCCCACCGTGTTGGTCAAAATCCAATTTTTGCTGGGGTGGCCGACTGGCAGACTTTCACAGTACCATCATTAGTGTGAACGATGTTCTATGTTTTGCGTAGCTTTAAGCCACGGTTTCTTAAGCCACCCCCTCCTTTTATAGGGGATTCGGACGAAGGCCATCATGGGTACACTAAAGGCAAATCGACGCGGCAGTTCTCTCGCAGTGGCGACCCTTCGCAACGATACAGAGATGAGCACCATGTCGATGATGGAGACCAGAAAAATGACCAGTCTACTACCTTGGCAAGGGGTCCTTCAAAAGGAAACAATTCGCTTCGACAACGAGAGGCAGGCCAAAATGTGACTGCGCACCAGGAAGGACGTTCGACTGCTCGGCGACCACCTAAGAACTCAAAGTCAGGCAATCGCCAGGCCGCCCAGTCTGAAGATGCCGATGATGTAGATCTCGTAAGTCTAGATTTTGTGGAGGCTTTTATGGTCACTGAGCTAGTCCTTCGAAGTATTAACTTCTAGTCACCCTATGTCCTCTCACTAGGCTCAGCGATATTTATTCGATAACCCACCTTTTTGCT